CTATAAACTTTCATCTTCTATTGTTAACTTTTTAATCAAACATTTATACCCAAAAAGTTTATTTAAAATACTAGTGAACTAACCAAAAGTAAATGAATATTAATACTCTTAAATTAAAGTAATTCAATGAAAAAGAAAAAGGTACATGTCAATTAAACTTTGTGAAAAAAATAAGAGCATTTGATAGTTTGTGCTATCAAATATGATCATTCAAGGTGATTTTGAATATTAACTGTCTTAGTATATCATTTACAAATCAATATTTTTTAGTCTATATACAAATGTCACATGAGCACCATATAAAATTGTACTAACTAAGACACATCAATATCAATATATATTTATATTTACGTGCACGAGTACATTCTGTTGCTAAGATCGTAAAGGGGTAAACTCCATCATAGTCAAACATGCACATGCAAAAATAATATAAATCATTTTATTTGTATTTTAAATATCATCTAATATCATTCTTTCATAATATACTTATGTAATAAATAAATATAACTATTGAAATCATTCACATTCATTTCTATATAATCAATTTGAATAATATGATAGAATAGTCAAATTCTCCTTGTAATATCTTGACCAATGTCATTCTAGTGCAAACGATTTAGAAGAAAAATAATATTATTATCATAATTTAGAAGTAAAAGTACTCACCTCATTCAGTTGGCTTACTTTTATCGTCCAAACAACCTTAATTAGTGTCCAATAGTTAATTGCCTATAATATAAAAAAAAATTGAACATATTATTTAATTAGGTTAAATTAATCTATTAATTAACTATGTTATTTTAATTGTTAGTTAGAATTTTTTATTGTAAGTATTCATTTCATTTCAATTTGATTATCAATGCTACATCTTTAATCAATATCTATGATTTCTAACAAACTTTATTCAATATCTTATTCATTCTAAATTAAAGGATATACCTTTACTAGCTCCTGAAAATTGTTTCAGCTTGTCATTGCTAAATGCTTGTTCAACTTCTGCTCGTGTTTTGTTCCGATCTGGCATGAAATACTCATCTCATCCCCAAGTCGTATGCATTCACGGGTTAAAGCTCGAAGCTTGCTTCTCAAGCTAGTGTGGGGTCATTGCTTCCCTGCTTACCCAGTCAAACACCTCTCGTGTTCAACACCGTAGTTGCAAAACTCTTGTGTGAGATCAACATTAAGCCCTACGTCTTGTTCGCATCCATCTTCTCAGAAAGTCAAAATCATTCGCCTATAAAAAGGGGTATGCGGTTAGTCGACGTCGTACTTGTTTATGCCCTAATTCCCATCTTCTTTACATTCATAGACTTCAACCTTCTTGAGCTTTGATAGATTCATTCAATGATCTCGTGCTTAATCTCCATCCTTCGACGAGCACGCTAGGGCTCGAGAGCTTTTTTTTGTGTCGATCAAGACACACTGTTTTGAGTTCACAATCATTCAAAGAAGGTTTGCTCAAGTAAGAGTAACCTGTTGGAGATGTCGATTCTCCTCCTCCTTCTTCTTCTTCTTCTTCTTCTTCACCTCGTCTTGCATTCATGCTTTCAATTTCCTCCCTTTAGTTCAAATGAGATCATCTGATACTTAAAGAAACCGTCGAAACACGTCGTTTGAACAAACACAACAAGTTAGAATTTATTTTTTTTATTTATTAATTTATTTTTCGTTTATTATATAGAAATATATCCCAAACAGTGTGAAACACTCTCTGAAGTTGATATGTCCGAATCTTCTGAAGTTTGGATGTCATTCTTTGTGCACAACACATGTTCAAATTCTAATTTTTTTTATTGTTTGGAGCCCTATCTCACATTCTCTATTTTGGATACTATATGACTCTGTTCTAACTTTCTGAAATCTTTTTCTCTTAATAGTAGGTGTCTTACTGCTTTGGGATTACTTAATGGTAATCTAGGATTGTAGTTGCCTCTTTTTTTGTGGTGGTGTGATCCCTTAGGTTTTCTTTGGAATTTATTGTATTTTGGGTTTAGTTCGGGTTTGCGGCCTCTTTTATATTTTTTTGATATTTAATAAAAATTTTATTTCCAAAAGCATAAAAGTATCATGTCATATGTGGTGACAAATACAAAATTACTCTCTGCATAGAATTTGATAGAAATAGTAGTATCATATGCCACACATAATTTTTTATTATAGGTTACTAACAAACCATCAATAAATTTCTTATCACACAATATCAAATTTAGCTGTTGCACAAAATTCATTACAAAAATTTCATTAAAAATCATAACTACCGACAAAAATTCCATAGAGAACAATATTTAGGAAAACTATCACTTTACTGATCACTATTATTAAAAAAAAAAAGCTTATGTAAGTAATGTAGCAAATTGTATTTTTATAGCAATTGTGTAAGTAAAAAAGAAAAATTTGTTAAATATTTTAAAAAATAAATTTTGCAACATGGGATAGTCATAAATCTATTATAAACTCGCTCACTAATATTATTTTCAATGAGAATTAACTATATTAAGTAAATATTTTTATTGATAATAGGGCATTTTCTTCTAGTGAAGAAAGACAAATAGAGAAAATGTATAATGCAATATAAAATTCATAACTAAGTTGCATGGGAATCAATTTGGACAGACCCATTTAGTAACCCTATTTATGAGAGATATTTTGAACAAGCAAAACTTAAAAAATTATTATAGAAATTTAAATGCTTAATAAAAAATTCTTGTGTATGTATTTACATATCTAACGTCTAAACTTTCAAATATACATTTATAACAATTTGGTGTCATGTATACACACATGAAGAATTTATATTAGTAAAAATTTTGTGTCATATATGCATGCATGGAAAATGTGTATTTCACTTTTAAAAGTTAGCAATCATGATATTCTTGATGTGATGTTAAAGATTTGACTACTATGCATGAAATAATGAAAGTTTGGTTATTAGCTATATAAATAAAAAAGAGTTGTGAAGAATATATGTAAAATCCCCATTTTTTATTTGATTCAATAGAAAAAAAATCCCTCATTAAGAATAATTTTAATATAATTTTATTCATTTGTTATCTTTCTTTTGATGGTTAACTAAAAGTAAAACCTAAGAATTTATTAACAAATAGAAACACTAAAAGTAAATCCTAATAAATCCTTCAAGGAGCATCTCCATCTATACTATTATCTAATTTGAGTTGTTTTTATACAACATGAATATATTTATGATTAGTTGACACAAGAAGTTCAAATCATATCCCAACAAAGTGTTTTTTTGTCATTAGCACAACTCTTTCTTATTTTAAAATAGTCAGCTGGAATTAGCACTATCTCAAGTTGAAGCAATAGATTCAAATCGCATGCCCAAAAAATTGCAATTAAATACAATTGATCATCATTAATAAAGATTTGTAACATAACCTACATATTTTTAATTTGTTTTGAGGCTTTTCCAATTTGGGTGATCAATGGAGTGAAAAACAAGGTTGAAGAACTCAAAGTCATGGCTTGAGGTAAAATAATTAAAATACAAACTAATTGAATATCATTTTTCTTCACTACCTTAAAATCCAAGCAAAGCCTAAAAGAATTCTACTAATGATTTCCTTAACATGTTTCTTGTCCTAGAACAACCATATATGCTATAGCATGTTCCTCAACATCCTAAAATTGTGGCCAAATTGGACTCTTAAGAACTCATTGAAATAGCACATAAACATTTCTATGGATTTGTTAGAGAAAACATAATATGCTATATATGTTTTTATCCTTTAATTATATTCAAAGCCTCTCTTAAGGTAAATCACTATCTAAACCAAATCAATGTTGCTGTCAAATACAACTATTTTTGAAGTAAAAACTATTGTATTACTGGTTTGTAATAGCTAAGTTTATCATTGGAACATGCTCTCCCCTCTCATTCTCCAACTCCTTCAAGAGAGCAAAATAGGAATTTCTTCTAGAGTTGATGTTCAAAAAACACAAGAAGATTGATTTTTCAATAATGTAATTAACCAAATTACATGTGCAATTCTACAACTTTTGTGCTTTTACAAAAGATATTTTAGGCAGAAAAAAATCAGATTTTATTTTATTTTTTTACTTTTTACACTTAACAAGTCTCCTTGTCAAAAGCTCATTATAACAAAAATACCAAAACAACAACAACAAATGTTGCAGCCATGAATCAGAAGTGTGTCAGTGGTGTTGCCACTCTTAATAATGTATATCCTAAATAAATATCATTACAAAGCTGGCTAATGCTGCCCAAAATGTTATCTCACAATGGACAATTATTAAAACAAAATAAAATAAAATAAAAGTTAACATGATATAAAAACTAAAGCAATATTTATGCAAACCTTTTCCAATAATTATGAGAATAAAACATATAATTAATTGCACTACTGATCATGACAAGAACAACATAATTGCACCTAAATAATATTACTGATTACATGGAAGTCAAACACAGATAGGCTCAATAATGCGCCTTAGTATTAGGAAAGTGTGAGTTCAGCCTCATTCATATGGTTGGCATTTGTGTTTAAATAAATTAAACCCAAATAAGAAAATTATATTAGAAAACTTAAGGATGCATCAAATGTATTCAGCGCATAAATGAGAGTGTTATAAGCACAATAATAATCTCATTAATAAGATTAAAATCAGTAATTACTGAAAAAAAGGGGCTTTGCCAGCTCAAAAACTCACTCCATAAGAATCAATGAAAATTCTAATAAAATAAATAAAACACACACATGGCCATTCGTTAAATCCCATTGCATTATACTGTCGAACATTGATACGAAAGCTTTCAAGACTTCCCCTTAGGCATGATAAGTTGGCGAAGATGATGATAATGAAGAAGAAGAAGAAGAAGAAGAAGAAGAAGAAGAAGAAGAATGGAGAAAAAAAGAACTCATTTTCAATAAGGTAACAAGAGGAAAGCTTCATGGAATATTGTACTGTAGCTCCAAACCATGAAAACAGTAAAAAAATGTAAATTTGATTGAAGATCGAACCTGCGGATCTCTTCTGAGATGCCATTTACTCTTCCTCTCCTCATCAGAAAGCCATTGCTGCAAATAAAAAGCAATGAAAAAAAGATCAAGAGTAAGAGCAAGGAGAAAGAGAGAGAGAAAATTAGGGTTTTTGTCATGAAACCTCATTGAGGAAGACAAAGATCCTGCCTTTCAAGAGTCTGTACTAACAATTCAGATCTTATAAATAAATACATACACCGAAGAAGAACAGCAGGAGGAGATGAAAAGGAAGAGAAAACTCAGAAAAGGAGGAGGGAACAAGGACCGGTCAACAGTAGGGTCCGTTAAGCCAGATAGCACGGATGAGCAGAGGAGGCGTACGCTTCCCAATCTCATCTTCTCGCTCTCCGAGCCCTAAAATTTCATTTTTTTTAGCAGAATAAACCATACGTCCTTTCACCACCACCTCAAAAACCACGCCGGCTGATCTCTTACTTCCCCACGCCAACAAAATTTTCAATCTTTCATATAAAAATTCAAACTTTATCATTAATTTTCACACTAATTCAAACAAAATTTCAAAAAAGAGGAACCTTTGTGAAAATCCGAGCCGGAGTAGACGTGTCTGAAGCGTGAGAGATCTGATCTGCCACCTGGATGAGGAACTTGACATTTTGTAACCAAATGCTCTGCACGGAAGCTCTCCTCTCTCTCTCTCTTCCCAGTTTTGCCTTCCGTTGCAGCGACGGATAAAGAGCGAAAGGAGAAAAGCGAACCTAAAGAGGAAAGAAGCGAGGAAAGAAAGCCATATAGAGATTCGATTAAAGTGGCCTGTAATTAGGCTGGCTGACAGATAGAGACGTGAGCACGCAACAAGAACTCCATTCGTCGATGCAGTCTTCAACGCTGTGTGCTCACTCTCTTCTGTCAGCCCACTCATCATCGATCCAATATCAACAACTAAGGAGAAGATAGAGAGAGAGATGTTGTGTGTGATGAAAGATCAGATCTTGAGAGCGTTTTTGATTGTCTTCTCGGAGTTATCCAGAAACAGTTTCGTGGAGATTTCTTTGAGATTAAAGGAGCCATCTTTACGCCTTCTCTTCTTTCTCTCTCTGTGGTCCCAAACCCCTCCTCTTCTCCCTCAATCATGTTAAGCATCCGCTTCTGTAGGTTTGAGAAAGAAGAACCCGAGCCTCTCTTTCACTCACAATGAACAGAGATGGTGGAGGTGTTTAGCGAAAGCATGTAAAGCAGGGAGTAAACTATAAAAAAGATGAATATTAAAAGTCATTAATTAAATGAAATTGGTAAACTGTTTAAAAAAAATCTTTTTTTTAGTCCAATCAATTAAACTTTAATAGAATAAACTTATAATTTTATATTTACTTATTCATTTATTTTGACGGCAATTTACGAATGGATTAGTTTGTTCGTGGACCCGGTTTATTTAGTTTAAATTATAATAAAAATATCAAAATATTTACTTATTTATTTATTTTGAAAGCAATTTATGAATGAATTTGTTTGGTTCTGAAACTTTAAGCGGTTCGATTTGCCGAAAAGGAATATAATCTAATTTAAATAAATAAATTATTCAGTATTGTTATTTTAAAGTAATATTTACAGAAATTAGAGTGATTAATTCAAATTTATTAGATCTCTTACCGAACAACCCTTTCAAAGCAGAAAAATTTTCTCGGGAGTCATAAAATTGCGTTATTTTGGAATTTATTGCTCATTATTTTCAAAGAAAAGTAACTTGCAGTCACGTTTGAATATAAAAATAACACTATTCTTTTTCAAAATTGATTTGGTATACAATTAGATTAGTATTTAATAAGATCTTAATAACGATAATCTTGTATTTTTTTTTTTTCAAAATTAGAATAAGTGTTATTGGGTGATACCAGTATTACAATGAACGACTTCCTGGCCAGAAAAACATTACATCAGGACTTATAACATAAAACTACGTTTGGAGTCCAATGAAATGACGTCACGTGGATGTGACAGAAAAATTTTTAAAAAAATCGCTTTAGCTCAGAGGAGTATTCCTTCCGTGTTATTTCACATTATTCAGGTGTTATTGTGGTGGTGTTCATGTTTTATTGTGTTCTGAGAATATTTTCGGTATTATAATAACACAATAATATATCAAAACCACAGCAATAACATCTGAATATTGCGGAATAACAAAGGAAACCGCGAGCATTTCCTTGAAGCCACGTATCCGCATATCAGCGGACTCCTAACATAGCTCTACGTTAAGAGTCCTGATGTAATATTTTTCCCTTCTTGGCCCCTACAAGAAAAGAAAGCATTATGTAATATTTTTTCGTATTTAATTTATCTTAAAATAAAATTAAATCATTTTAAAATTTACTTTAAAGAAGTACTCTAACACAATTTTTTTATTTGATAACTTCATAGAAATAATTGTCAAATGTCATTTTTGTCCTAGAGCTATAAAAGTATCAATTTAATTTCATAATTTTTAAAAGGATAACCATTTCAACCTAGGGACTAATTTGATGTTGATTCTAGACTTTTCTCATGTAAATGGTTGGAAGATTATTTACCACTCGACATTGCCAGGAAAACAACTAATACCGGTGGAATGACCAATCACTTTTTCTTAGTACGAAATATCGAGCTAAATTTCTATGGTATTCGTGACGCACAATTTCTAACGATTTTCTGACTCCTAATGTCATAGTTATTTAGTAAACAATATTTTCTTATGGTTTATGAAGACAAACCGACAGTTTAGATCTGTCGGTTTATTGCAAATTATAGCTAAAACACATCGTCAATTTTTTGTGTTAAAAACTGATGGACTTATCATGGTAACCAACGGCTTATGCAGCGTAGTTAATTCATCGGAAAGTCTTTAAATAGCAAACCGAGGTGAAGATTCGTTCATTTCTTCTCATCACATCTCCGATCGCAAACATTGATTCTTGGAATTTTCGCTACGGTGCATCAAATCAAAGTTAATTTCGATTCAATCCTTCATCTAAGTTTTTATGTAAATTGAATCATTAGTTTTTTTCCGCAATTTCAATTTATGTGATTTAAAAAATATGAAATTTAAATTTTAGGGTTTGAAAAATCGAGCAATCATGTGCTATTTTTGAACTACTGAGCTGATGTATAGATAATTGTCACGATCAAATCATTTAGAAACTAATAAAAATGAATTTTTTATGTTGGTGTTTTATTATGAATTTTGATATCTAAGTGAGAATTTTAAGAACGAGAGTGCTAAATTTGTAAATAGCAATGTCTCGGATACTTTGGAGGATACATTAAGTATTATATAATTGGATGGGGGCAAAGAATAAAAAACAGAACATTTACATATATGCCTCCCATTTTCTATGTATTTACCCAAAACTTAATTTTTATATTCTTAACACCCAAATCTAACATATCAAATAAAAAAAAAATCATTAATGTAACTTTTAAAAGTGAAACACACATTTTCTTACATAGGTAAAGGCATGTATGTAAATATTGAAGTTTATGTGTTGGATATGTAAATACAAAAAGAGTATGTGTATACTTCCAAAAAGAAAAATCAAATAACTTTGAAGTTCAATTTTCATTATAATGCTTTGTTAATGTGCTCATAAAAGCTTATTTCTTTTTTATTTGTTTTATGTCGTTAAATGTGCTCACAAGTTAAACTTATTAACCATGAGTTCTAGCTCAAACAACTTAAATCTGAGCTTGTATATTATATGAGCTAGAGTCAGACCCACCCCGAGTCGAGAGCTGAATGAGACCACACCTGCACTGCCACCAGTTTCTCTTGATGCACCGTTGGGTACAAAAACCACATACATCACTTTTCAGCTGCAGGCTGCGAGCAGTGGGGCATACATAAGTTTTTTCTAGATATTTAAAGTAGTCCTTTATTTTTTTATTTAATAGTTTATTAATAATATGTTGTGTTTAGTTTTTCTCCCCCAGCACATGCCATCCATTTTATCCAAGACATTATTCGAAGCAAGCTTGATGATCCATACTTATCATTGAATAAGGCTCCGATCCTAGTTCAGGATATGTGGTTTGAGGAGTTCAAGGTATGTACCGAAAGCATTTATCTTCAGTTATATAATTTTATTTGTCAATCTAACTTTTTTTTTTATTTTGTATTGCAGAAACAGTGGTTTTGGTCACTTGAGGAGGAGGCCCACAATCGGTGCAAATTCGAGTGCTAGGGGAACGACCCCCTTCGTGATATTTGGGGACATACGGAAGATGTGTCGGCCTCTCTTCTGCCTTGGTGAGAATGTGTTTGCCTCTTGAATACTAGAAGGAGTAGATGAAACTGAGTTACTGCTCTGATTGCAGAGTAATGGGGGCCTCCAAGCACACTAGTGGGGTTGTGCTACATACAGAGTATAAGATGTTACTGGTAAGAATTAATTTATGCATTAAATTTTATTTTACATTAATTGTATGCTAACTTTACGTTACTCTAACAACCTATAGTGTTGGGACGGGACCTATCCGTTGTCAAGTTACTTGCGCGCACTCATAAGCAGCAGTCGAGCTAGAGTTACATGGACAACGGATCTGAAGCGATCCATGTAATTCAAAAGATAAAAAGTTTACAATTCAAATAACTATTAGTGTTTTCCTAGCCTCTAACATCCATTAATCTTATTTTTTTTGTAGGAGACCTTTTAGAGGATGAAGGAGATCTGATCATAGAGTTCTAGTGGTATTAGAATCACAGATCGTGATAGCCCGACTTCAAAGTGTGGAGGGAGGCTGTTGGAGGGAAGAAAAAGAATCGGGTCTACAGTTTAGGTTTTTAGGCATCGACCTACGACGCTAATCTCTCCAGTTCATCTGGTACATTGACCTTTACTGCTCAGAAGGAGGAGCTTCGTAAGTAGGTTTTAACGCTTACTAATGAAGTTGAAGTCAGATTTCTTGCCTAGGTTGCTACCCTGGTCTCCACCCAACTAGCACAAATATGATCGGAGATGAGTTGAAGATGACGGTTGATTTTGAAGCGATACTGCTTCATGCACGAGAAAGAGTAAAGAGTCCAAATGAGGATGAGTTGGACGAGAACGATGATGAGAGGACAAATGAGGTGTAGGGGCTTTTGTTTTCTTTTTCTTTTTTTTTTGGTTATTTAGAATAATTTATGGAAACAAATATTATTTTTATGTACAAATGTACAGTTTAGTTTGTTTAATGCAGTAGTTTTATTTGATTTCTATTTATGGTTTCTATGTTAACTAATATTGTGATATTAGATTAATAACTACTTTGATTAGTATATTGCAATGTGTAGAAATTATAGTGTTAGGATTGTAAGTATAAAAATTGTAGTGCTGAAAAAGCATATTATTTTTTTTTTATGCTACAAATTTTTTACGATTTACTGATAGTAGTCAACGCACTATCGTAATTTTCAACAAGCATTACACGTCAGTCATCTCACGTCAGTCATCTTAGCAGCGGTAAATTGATGACATATTGTAATTTACGATCGTCATTTTCGATGACTTACAATTACAAACCGACTCCACAATACATTTGTGTTGTATGCTCTAGTTTTTCGACAAAACAGACTGTTAATTTTTACCAATGAATACTGATGGCTCTGCTAAACTTTTTTGCAACACTTTTCCAATAGCCAAGACCGTCAGAAATAACTAGCGGGGTACCATCGATATCTCACTAAAGTTTATTTCGACTGTTTAGGTTTGCCAACTAAGTGTCAGTGTATACACAAGAACTTCCCGCATGAATCTCAGAGAGAACGAATGACGAAGCATACAAAGCTGCCCCCCGACGTAAGCGATCGACAGACAATTCAACACTAAGCATGAGAAGCCACGTATCTAAACCTCGGATAGACCAAAGCTCCGGAGATGGTTCCCCACTTGGTAGCATCAAGATTTGCCGATGGTGAGGCACAAATCATCCTGATAGTGAGTCTCATCGGATATCTAGCATAGGCAGCAACAAGGCCGCTCCAGACCTTGCAAATGGGGATATCCAACCGAGGTGACGAACTGACAACGGAGAAAAGAAAGGGGTCCTGTAAGATTTGATCCAAACAACATGTGAGCCACGACTCACTTGACCAAACAAATTGAACAATCGATCGACCGACCGATCGAAACAATAGGTCTAACAAAGCCTGTCGACCAACGTCTTGACAAAACGGATGACCGTATTTAGACCAACAAATTACGCCCTT